GTAATGAAGCCAAACATCTTAAGGATGGGCGTTTGATTTTTTTAAAAGGGATCTGAGCAAGTCAATGTTGTCAGGGAAAAGACTGTAAGAATAAGGAAGCCAATCCCTTTTAATTCAAAACATGTATAAACAGATAATTAAGAATTGGCTGGAATCCATTTTAATATTAAAGTCTTGGAAGTAAGATGGTATGGTAGGAATGTTAGCAATTAAATCACTTCATCACTGAAAATATTATTAATTCAAATTAAAAGAAGTTACATCAGAACAACCATTTAAAGTTACATCAGAACAACCATTTACTTTATTTCCCTGAAAATTATCCATAAGATTCTCTACAATATATCCTGTATGTAGACTGTATATGCCCTGAAAGTATGTGTGTGTGTATTCAACTATTGTTAACTTTTTGAAGATATTATCTGAGTTTTCATTTTCTTAAACATACTGCACCATCTTAAAGTACCATGACTTAGTCAGCTGATTAAAAAAAAAATCACTAATCAAACTAATTTGCTGTGTTTTGGACATGCTTAAGAAGGCACAAAGGAATCATAAACAAAACTACTCTCACTATCAAACTGTAAGGAGACTTCCTCCAAGAATGACAGTCTTTCCTGGCTGAGACATTACAGGTCATCTTCTCTTTCTGGAACAAGAAAACACAGGGAATAAGGCATGCTGGTCCTGAACAACTTCATCCAAAGGACTATGTAAGTGAACTTACAAGAACTGCTAAATGTACACACATTCCCTTCTCTCTCTAAGAAGGCTCTACCTGGGTGGTGGTAAGTGGACTAATCATTTGGGAGGATAAAAAACCATTTTTAAAACTAGGATTGATGGTTTAAATATACTTAGATTTTAGTGATACCATCCTAATTTGTGAAAAGAGGATAGGGATATAATATCTATTCACATTCTTTCTTTACAAAATCATCAATCCACAAAAATATATGTCTCTTATTTTCTTAAAGGAAAAGATCCACGTTTTTCACCCATAATTGACATGAAAGGAGGATCTTTTCCCCTTCCACCAAACACTAAAGCAACTGTGAACTCACTGATAATCTCAAACAGATGATCCAATCCTATTTCTGACAGCTGAGTTAAAACCAACCAACCCAAAATGCAGACATCATGATGCAGTGTCTTTATGACAGCAATAGGCAGGTGTTTGTTTTTTTTTAAATTACATGCCCTTATTATTCTTTCTTCCTGTTGTTAACAGTAAATCCTGAAATATTCTATACAAGTGATTGTTGGGCTGGAAAAAAGAAAGAAACGCTAATGCAAGTATTTATACCTTCTGCAATGAAAACAAGATATTATTGCTTTGCATGACCTTTCCTAAATATGGGATACAGCATTTTACACAATAGTTTCTTGGTTCATGCTTCAATTACTGACCTTTACTGTGTAGCAAATTAATGCAATTTTCATTGTAATCCATCCGTACAAATAAGGTCCACATAGAAGAATTTCACATACGGAATCTAATACAAATAGGAAATGTCAGCTGATTGCTGTTGGCTGAACTTAGCCATTATCTGTTTGTTCTGGGGTCCCCAGCAAACTATACTCATAACAAGCAATTTCTTGCATGGGGCCATCAGGTCTAAGAAAGATTGCCTCTCTTCAAAGTTGAGTTTGTACCTTCAGTTTCCTAAGAGCCAAAAACCTAGTTATCCAAGTGTTCTACGTTGTAACTGAAAGCCCATCAAAGAAAGGAAGGCAAAATTGTGGAGTCTGATTTGGTTTCGAAAAAAATACAGGGAATTACCGTGGACTTTTAACAATGAGAAGAAGCAAGAGGCTATGATGATGTCATTTTACAGCCATCCCTGTTACAGACAATAAAAGGATGACAGACCCCAGACCTTGCCCTGGTCTGTGCAGCGGAGACAGACAGAATATGGGAACACGTCCATCTCCCGAGGAAGTTGTGCCAAGGGGCCCCCAGCACGCTTTCATCTTCCACGGTTGTCCGTGATGGTATTTGGTGGGAAGGGGCACTGGCAATTAAGGAGTGTCACTTTCAAGATGGATAGTTTGAGTAGAAAGGAGTTCCCCTCCTCTCCTGGTTTGGAAGGAGATGGCTGGATGTTTATAATTTGTAAACAGTCCATCTCTCACTGGGTGTGTTACAGTTCCCAGAAGCCCGTCTGTCATGTCTAACACACAACAGAAGCCAGAAGGGCGCTGTGGGGACGCCCCCGGAGTCAGAACACTGTGGAGGGGAGTGGCCCAGGGCCTCCTTGCTTGAGGGACCAGTTCTGGGTGTGGAGGCTGCTCTACATGGAGAAGCAATGATAAAGCCTAATAATCTGTAAGTGGAGGTGCGCTCCGGAGGTCTTCCAGTTGAGAGTCCCTCTAGTTCACACATCTCTTAGAGAAGTGACAGTGCAGAGATGTGGAAAAGGGCTGAAGCGTGTCAGTCTCCCCTCACAACACAAGGCTTGTGTTCAGCAGAAGAGGCCTAAGCAGAAGTCAACCTTTCACTGCAGAGCTATGCCTTCAGAAGTTTCCAGGCTGTTGCTGTTCAGTCACGAAGTCGTGTCCCACGCGTTGCGACATGGCCTGCGGCACGCCAGGCCTCCTTCATGGAGCACAGTTTGTGGTGGCGAAGGGCTTGTGGAGCTCAGTGAAGCTATGAGCCATGCCGTGTAGGGCCACCCAGGATGGGCGGGTCACAGCGGAGAGTTCTGGCAAAACGCGGTCCACTGGAGGAGGGGATGGCAAACCACTCCAGTATCCTTGCCCCAAGAAGCCCATCCACAGTATAAAAAGGCAAAAAGAAGTTTCCACAGAAGTATGAAATTGAGGAAGCGAAAGAAACAAGACAATACGGCACTCTTAAAGGCCCTACAAACATACTACACTCAATCAAAGTATCTCAAGAACGGAGGTGTCCTGGAGGAGATGTGGAGACCCCAGTGCCAACATCCTCAGTGTGGGTGGGCTGATGTATCTTCTGTGAGGAGGGTGATGCTTAGAGGACAGGAAGAGCTCCCAGGTTCATCCATATAGATCACAGCCCAAGTGGTTTTCCCTCCACACCCCCAGAGAGCCCTTGAGGTGCCACAATGGAAAGTTAGACCATGCCAACCACTGCTCTAAACTTTCATGGCTGATATTTTTAAAATACTCTTGTTTGACTGCACTGGGTCTTCTCTGTGGCATGCAGGATCTCTGATCCTCACTGCAGCATGTGAGATCTTTAGTTGCAGTACATACAAACTCTGAGTTGTGGCATGTGGGATCTAGTTCCCTGACCAGGGATTGAACCTGGGGCCCCTGTGTTGGGAGCTTGGAATCCCTTCATGGATGACTTTATTGCCTTCCTGTTTACGCGACACCACTCTTTCATCCATCACCTTCTTATTGGATTTCTTCTCTCTTAGAGGGGATAAAGCCCCACAGTCACAATAATCTCTCTAGGGTGGGTGACATCTTCTTCCATAGGTGCCTCGTTAATACAGACTAGACCAAAGAGAAAGAAATCTTCCTCACTTCCAACCTTTGCTTAATAAAATTGATGATTACTCCTTGTGTAGCTTTAAAATAATTCCATTAAAGATTGAAGGCAGGAGGAGAAGGGGACGACAGAGGACGAGACGGTTGGATGGCATCACCGACTCAATGGACATGAATTTGAACAAGCTCCAGGAGTTGGTGGTGGACAGGGAGGCCTGGCGTGCTGCAGTCCATGGGGTCGCCAAGAGTTGGACACAACTGAGCGACTGAACTGAACTGTGTCTGCTGTGGTGAAACATCCCCAAGGGCACATTAATTTAGCTGTGGCTACTTTTTAAAATGATTTCATGTATTTATTTCCAGCTGCACTGAGTCTCTAACTGCGGTGGCTTCACTCGTGGCCGAGCGCAGGCTCTATAGCACAGGTTCAGCAGTCGCAGCCCATGGGCTTAGTTGCTCTGAAACATGTGGAATCTTCCCAGACCAGGGATTGAACTCAGCACTGGCAGGCAGATTCTTCACCACTGAACCACCAGGGAAGTCCCTAGCTGTGACTATTTTTAATGTTCAAGGACTAACATCACTCAGAAGCCACTCAGGTCAATTCATCAAGAAGAAAGTGGCATCATGGGACTTTCATTCTTGAAAGGGTCCCGATTCTCTTTTTAAAAAGTCACACTTTATTAGTTTGCTCTTAATGATCATTTTAGAACGACAAGTAAGATTTACTTTGTAACCTGCCCAACTTCCTTCAAATGGGCAAAAAGCATCCTGCTCCTTTGATGGATTTTAAGGTTGTCTGTGTCATGAAGTTGGTGTTTTTGAATTCATTTCTGTTTCCCGCACATTTTATATGGGACCCTTAGCTTTTCCCTTTCCCTCTCTCGCCTCTCTCCTCTCCTGCCCACCTTCTACACACTATCGCCCAGAACCCGGCAGACCCACAAGTTCTAGGGGACTGGGCGACTGTGAACCTAGTAGCATCTCATCTGGCATTTTACTTTTTTTTTTTCCGTTTTATTCCAGAAGGTTTGTCTGAAAGCGTAATGACAACAAAGCAGCAGATTTGAGAGATTCTCCCAGGAGGAGAGAAAGGACAGATGTACCCAGACGTAGAGCTGAAAACGATGCCAGCAACAGCTGGGCAAGTGACAGATTCTGAAGCGGGTGACCCACCCGCAGAGTGCAGACATGAGCCTCAAGGAACAGCGACTGCACTTGATTTACTTTTGACTTCCTGGACTACCTTTCATCTACCTTTCATCCACCAAGGGGAAGGCTACACTTCGCCTCAAATGACAGGCCTCCTAGTTAACAGTTCAGTTACTCCTTGTATTCCACCTCTTTTCATCTTCACTTAAAACTTGAAAAAGGATAACTTTTACACATTATGCGAATTTGATCACTATACTGGTCACCCTACGGTAGTAAAATGATACAACAGAGCTTGACTCAACCAGCTAGAATGCCATCGACCAAAAGCATTCATGCTGCCTTTCTTGTCCTTTCTGGAGCATACCCACCTTGTCATCTTCATCATCCTCCTCATCCACGTCCGGGCTCTCCTAAGAGGAAAACCCACACATGTGAATAAAACATCAACTGAAATGACCAAGTACAAACACATGCATAGCCAGGCTTCAAGTTTTCCTACATCACTGAAACACTCGTCTTTTTGAAATACACTGTGCCCTCTTAAAAAAGGACCCTTTTAAAGTTAAAGGATGCTGAAACAAGACTGTAAACAATATGCATGATCTACATAAAACTGTGAACTATAAATAAAGCTATTAGGCGAGTGCCCTTTGAAAGCAGCCAGCTTTAAAAACCGCACTGCCAAGTTGTACCTTCTGTAAACAGTTTTGTTCTTATTCTTGACAAATGAACCAGCTGCTATGTTAAGGCTGAGAACACCATACTCCGTGTGTGCTGGGCTCATTGCTATAATGACTGCACTTTTCCTCTGGGGCCATTACCGAAACATTAGACAGTAGAAAATGCATTAGCCTGAATGTAATCAATCTCAAGAATAAGATACAGGTTTCTATACAGTATTATTGTTTTCCTTGGGCTTTGGAGTTGGGGGGGGCGGTGCAGATGAGGGAAGGAAACTCCAGGTTCAGATCTGGGCTAAAGGGGGGCCTGCCTTTAGTTCTGGGGCCACAGCACTAGCGGCGCTGCACACGGAGGCTTGTCCAAATTCATTTAGAAATTCTGGCTAGTTAATGGGTACGTTTGAGTCATATTACTGCTACATTTAAAAGCTAACACGTGCTGGTACACAATCCAATGATTTGGGAGCTCTGAAAGAACACTGAGTATCAGAAACTCAAGTGTATTTTCAGTTTAAACACTTACCTTTCTACTTAACCTTGCAAACACAGGCATATCAAAGTAGCTGCCATTGTCCCAATAGAAAAAAGAATGGTCAACATTATGCTTGTACAAGGGAGGGAATAACTCTGAAGACCTCCATAAACCACTGAGCAATTTCTTCAGGCAGGGCTGGTACTGAATTACCTCCTAGAATTCCTACAAACTCCACCGAGCAGTCTGTGGAATGCTTACTGATACTGGAGAACTAACCTATTCAATGCTAGCAACAAGCCTGTTCCATGAGAGCAAATGGATAACAAAGGATAAAAATGAATACAACGAAAACCTGCTAGGGGAGGAACAAACTCTGTAATTAGGAGTTAGAAGTCTTCATCTTGAGACAAAGTCTTCAGTTGGAGACCTTGTCCCAGCACTGTTTTGCTGCATGACTTTGAGCAAATCACTCTGCCACTCTGAACCTTAGTTGCATCAAGCATGAAATGAAAATAGTAGTTCTTGACTCCTTCAGGGTTATGTTACCAAGTTTAAATTAGATAATGAATTACAAAATGTTTAGTAAATTAAAAAATATTTCATATACAAATATATATACATACACATTTATACATATATACACACAAGAACACTTACGTAACCATATTTACTTACACACACACACACACACACACACAGACTATAGCTTGCCAGGCTCCTCTGCCCATAGGATTCTCTAGGCAAGAATCCTGGAATGGATTGCCATTTCCTTCTCCAAGGGATCTTCCTGACCCGGGGATAGAACCTGGGTTTCCCACACTGCAGGTAGATTCTTTACCATCTGAGCCACAAGGGAAGTCCATACCTGCCTACAAATACATACACACACACACACACACACACACACACACACACACACATATATGCTATAAACAGGTACATCATATATATAGTTGAAAAGTAAAATCTGATTAAAATTGTAAAAATGTTAGTTGAACACAGCACTTCTACAACAGATGTTTCTCTGTAAAAAGCTTCTTCATTTGTAGCTCTGTGAAACTTAATCCTTACATAAACTTGTATTTTAACGCTATTTATTTGTTAGTTGGTTCTAGCATCTTCAGGCTCCTCATTATCGATACAAGCACATGCTTATTGAACTACACGATCAAAACCCAAACAGAATTTTGAGTTTGTCTGAGGTTTTACTCCAGGCCTTACACTCATTTTCCACCACTCCAAATGAAACCAGAAACATTCCTTAAATATCTGTTATTTCAGAGACAATTATTTTTTAATAATCAGAACATTATAAGGAAAAATCGGTGAAGATGGTCAACTTGAGTCTTAGAAAACCCAACATGGAGGTCATTTTTTTCTAAAGGATGTTACCAAGTCTCAAGACAAGATTTTTGTTTCGAAAACTTGGTTCTTAAACCTGTAATAACAAGCTTATATCACAAAGCAAGTCTATACATACAAGTTCCTTCGAAAATAGAGCAGAAAAAGATTCTATGGGTTGGAATAAGAGGGGTAGGGGAGGGAGAGATGGAGAAAAAGAAAGAAAAGTAGATGTGGGGGAATGCTGTGAAGAGGCCCTGCCCGTGTTTCCTTTAACACCCCAGTGAGCTTGAGAATTACAGAAAAATCCTGGGCACTTGAGAACAGAGGGGGCCGGTGCCCACCCTCTCTCTGACTTCCCTGGAAGTGTGCCAGCCTCAGAGGACCCCCTGAGGCCTTAGGCTACAGGAGAATATTGCACAGGAGAACTATCTGGGGAGGTCTGAGGCACCTTCCACTTGTGTTTCCCTGAAGGGGCTCAAGAAGCCACCAAAGGCTTGTTCTGCATGTGTGCATGCTAAGTTGATTCAGTTATGTCCAACTCTGTGACCCTGTGGACTATAGCTCACCAGGCTCCTGTCCATGGGATTTTCTAGGCAAGAATAATGGAGTGGGTCGCCGTGCCCTCCTCCAGGATATCTTTACGACCCAGGGATCAAACCTGCATCATTTACGTCTCCTGCATTGGCAGGTGGGTTCTTTACCACTGGTACAATCTGGGAAGTAGAGAATCTTATTCCCAGGAACTCCATGGACACCCAGACAGGTGCTGCAGGCCTGGAAATGCTGACAAAAAACCAGATGGCTCACTCAAGCTAAGGAGGCAGGCGCAGACACAGAAACACAGATTCTCCAGAAGGAAGACTCCAGATTACACGTGACGAATATCTTCCCTGTAACGTGAATACATGAGCAGTATTGCTCCTCCAGTCTCAAATGCAGTGGATCGGGTCATGCTGTGGTGGTGGTGGTTTACTGGTAACACACTTTCTTTTCTAATCAAATGTCAGAATTATTGGAATCTGGGCTCACCTGGCTGTCCTGGATGCTGCCACCCTTCCCTCTCGCAGTTCCGATGGAATTGTAGACAAAGAGGAGCAATAAAGCCAGAGGGATCATGTAGAGTTCAAAGTTCCAGACAGTGACTAAGAACACCTGATTGGAAGACAAAGAGCAAATGACTGCTTGCAAAAACAGTATGGGGACAATCCTCAGCTCCTACTCACTGACTTCAGGAGATTAAACCCAGGACTCTCTGTATAGTTCCAGGCAGATTAAAATACACACACACACACACACACACACACGATCATTAGCACAGTTTTAGAACTAGTAGCAGAATAAGGAAGGCAGAGAAATGAGCCGGCCCATCACACTCTGGAATAGAGTTCCCATATTTGGAAACCTCATTACTCTACCAACCTTATTTAGTTTTTTGCTGCTGGACTTGGCACGCCAGAATACAGGTAAAGTACACAGCATGGAAAATCCAAAGGTCACTAAGAGGCTACAGGCCAATTTTTACCAAGAGTGAGATTTATCTGAACTAGGGCCGTGTGCTGTGCTCCATGGCTCGGTCGTGCCCGACTCTTTGCGGCTCCATGGACTGGAGCCCGCCAGGCTCCTCTGTCCACGGGATTTCCCAGGCGAGAATTCAGGAGTGGGCTGCCATTTCCTCCTCCAGGGGATCTGACTGACCCCAGGATCTGACCCCGTCTCTTGTATCTCCTACACAGGCAGGTGGAATTCTTTATTACTACTGCCACCCAGGAAGCCCCAGAGGGAATGATTCCTTTTCAAGCAGGCTGCCAGTGCTGAAAAATTCAAATACTTTGGATAAAAACTTTAGTTTTCTGAAGTCTCTTTAAACTTTTTTTAAATTTGGATGAAATATAGCTGATGTACAATGCTATATTAATTTTTTCTGTACAGCAAAATGACTCAGTTATACACATATATATTCTTTCTTCATATTCTTTTCCCTTATGACTTGTCACAGAATATTGAATATAGTTCTCTCTGTTATACAGTATGACCTTGTCGTTTATCCATACAAATCTTAAAATCTTCCAATTTTGAGGCTAGATGGCCACAAGAAAATGATGATCAGTGTGAATCTTTAACACTTGAGGAGACCTAAGCTTTCAATTAGAATAAACAGTGTCAAAATTTTGCAATCATTCTGGAACTTTTTAATACTGCATTTTATAGATCTATTGATGGTATACATAAATCAAGTATATTCATTTCATGTGGTATATGGTACCCCATTACAATGAATGTTTTCCAATTTTTCCATGATATTCTCTTACCAATGAAAACTTAGGATGAAATAGTGGTTTTATTTTTTAATGCAAATATATTAATCTTCAACTTGAGGATTTTTGCCTTTACTATTCTGTGTTCTACTTAAGAAATCTATGGTACCCTGAGGTGATAAAGTGATTTCTTGTCTCTTCTTTCAAAAGATAACTGTGTGGGTGTGTGTGTTCCTTCTCTTGGTTTAGAGGTAGAAACAGGCACCCAACTTGAACTTCATCCTCATAGTTGATTTACAATGCTGTATTAGTTTCAGGTATACAGCAAGGTGATTCAGGATTACACACACACACACACACACACACACACACATTTTTTTTTTCCCTCAGATTCTTTTTCCTTACAGGTTATTACAAAATATTGAGTATAGTCAACTTTTAGAACTGGATTACTGAAGGGCTCCATACTTGGCTCACTGATTCTACATTCCCACTCTGTCACACATCAGCTTCCCATAGGACCGTTGTCTACAGACCCTCAAAGTAAGCGTTAGTCGCTCAGTCGTGCCCGACTCTTTGCGACCCCATGGACTGCAGCCCACCAGGCTCCTGTGTCCATGAGGTTTTCCAGGCAAGGATACTGGAGTGGGTTGCCATTTCCTTCTCCAAGGAAGCTTCTCGACCCAGGGGTCAAACCCAGGTCTCCCGCATTGCAGGCAGATTCTTTATTGACTGAGCTACAAGGGAAGCCATACAGACTCTCTAATCCCTTCTTCTGAATTACATTACTGTGCTTTCACCAGGACCACTCCAGTACCCTTGCCTGGGGAATCCCATGGACAGAGCAGCCCTGTGGGCTACAGTTCATGGGGTCGCAAAGAGTTGGATACAACTGAGTGACTAACATTTTCACTTTCAGTAATCAGATGGTATCTGAGTGCATAAGTAGATATTATTTCACTTTTAAAATTATCTTGGATTGTTCTTTGACTGCATCCTTCCACATGGATTTAAAAATCAGTTTGTAACATTCTACAAAATTCTTGGTGAAATTTTATTGGAAGAGCCTTTAACGTACTTATCAGTGTGAAGAGAACTGACATCCTGATAATGACCTTCTGAATTATAAGGAATATTTATTTCTCCATATACTCAGAACTTCATCTTTTCACTTCTTTTTTACATAATGATTTTGCATATGTTTTATTATTTTTTGGAAAGTAATTTAATAGTTTTGATACTATTATGAATGGGATGATTTTCAAATTTATATTCTTTAGTTGGTTACTTACTTCTAGTTACAGGAACACTGATTTATATGTTTTTCACATATTTCTAAGCCCTCTTATTACTTGTAGGGAATTGAAAATACATCGTTTTGGAGATCTGGTGTGTAAAATCCTATAAACTGTAAATCATGACATTTCCTTTAGCCTCCCAATCTATATGTTATTTATATTTTCTTCTAGTGCTAAACCTCTGTGCATTTTTTAATGAGCAAGTATAGAATTTTTGAAATACTTTTTGAATCAATATAGATCATTACATTACTGATATCTTCCAGTTTACTAACTGGATGGGCTTTATCAATTTTATTATTTAATAATATGTATACTCCTCTAATTTTCTAGGTGTTTAAAGGTTTCTTTTTCTTTTACTTTTTTGTCGTTTTGTTTTATTGTGACCAACACAGAGAGAAGTTGAGAAAGTAGTACAGCAATTTCTCTATGTAAAACTAGCAATTTTCTTCATTGTTACCTATTTCCCTTTCCCTGTTCTTAAAGTTCTTTTAAGATTAGAGGTTTTAATTATACTCTAAAGGGTTACTATTTCTTAATTTCTATCTATTGGATAAGTGGAATTTTATTGTTCTTTCAAATTGCAAAATATAATTTCAAGTAAAAAGAGGCTGACCAAAAACTATTAAGAAAAAAAAATAGGAAACAACATATTTTTATTTTCTTCATTATCAACTAGTTATATAATGTCTTCAACAAAATTACTTTTACATGAACTGAAACTAGAGGGACGGCTGTGCTAGACAAACACCTCGTTTATCATATTTGTCTCCCCAGGTATTGGTAAGTAAGCCCAGAAAGTGTTTTACAAAAAAAAGTTCACATTCAAAGAACTTGAAATTCTTTAAGAGTGAGAAACTAGTACTTCTATTAACATTTTTAAAATCAATGCATAATTTTTACTTCTCTAATGGTGGATTAAGTTCCTTAACAACATCATCTAGCAAAAACAGAAACCCTTTAGGACTGGAAGGGAGACCAAGTATTTGAGAGTATGAAACAAAGTTAATATATTTCTCAGAGGAGTTGAAACCTTGGACCAAGAACTCAGATCTGCATGGGGCCACATGAAAAATTTTTGCGTCTTTCACTCAAGAAGAGTTGAAGACACAGAGATGGCACCAGTCGGTTAAAACTCAATAGAAAACCCTGCCAGTGTTCTAAATGCCTATGAAGGATGTAGGCAAAGGAGTCAGTGACAATCAGGGCTGCCAGAGAACACAGAAGCACATCAGGAGGGGAGGGTAAGCAAAGGAAAATACCAAATTCTGCACGTGAACTCTGCTATAGCCTCTACCACACACACCAACCAGACTCAGAGGCCTCTGGACTGGGATCAAAGCTGCCACTCACGGCAGGTGTGACTGAATGGTCAGTTTGGGTCTAACAGAAGTAAATGCTTTCTTAAAAAACAAAACCAACCTTATTTGAAACAATGTAGGATAATTTACTGTTTTCACCACATAATCCTCTTAATGTCTAAGATAGGATTCAACATCACTTGACATACACAGAGTCAGGAGAGTGGAATCATTATTAAGGGGAAGGCAATCAACAGATGTCAAGTTCAAGGTAATGCACATGTTAAAATGATCAGACAAGAACTTCAGACCACCTATCAGAAATATGCTCAGTGAGATGAAGGAAAATTACATCATAATAAAGTTAGTAAATAAATGCATAAAATAATAAAAGGGAAAACTGTCCAACTAAAACATCAACGTCTCAAACTAAAAAAAAAAAAATCAGTAAGTATGTTCAGGATCAGAATTAAAAAAAAAACTTAAGGAACTTGAAGAGATATCAAAAGAAATCACCTTATCTGAAAGTGAGAAAATAGTATGGAAATAAATGAATGGACTATTACTGCTCACTGAATAATTTCAAAAGTTCTAATATTCAGAATCTCAGAAAAAGAGGGAAGTTAGAGACATGTGTAAATAACTAATGGTTGAACACTTCCTAGAGAACTTCCAGCAGAATAAATTCAAAGAAAATCAGGCTTAGACAAATAAATATATATACTTATATATACATATTATATACTAATACACATATACTAGTTGCTCAGTTGTGTCTGACTCTTTGCAACCCCATGGAGTGTAGCCCACCAGGCTCCTCTGTCGATGGAATTCTCCAGGCAAGAAAACTGAAGTGGGAAGCCATTCCCTTCTCCAGAGGATCTTCCTGACCCAGGATCAAACATGCATCTCTTGCACTGGCAGGTAAAAGAACTATTTACTATAGCTCTTTGGTAAAGAACCTGCCTGCCAATGCAGGAGATTTAAGAGTATGCAGGTTTGATCCCTGGGTCGGGAAGATCCCCTGGAGGAGGGCATGGCAACCCACTCCAGTATTCTTGCCTGGGGAATCCCATGGACAGAGGAGGCTGGGCAACTATAGTCCACAGGGTCCCACGGAGGCAGACAAGACTGAAGAGACTTAGCATGCATGCATATATGTGTCATAATCACAGTTCTGAAAAACAAAACTGATGAAATTCTGAAACCAACTAAAGATAAATGACACATTATGTACAAGAACTTAACTACCTGAATGTTCATGGATTTCACATCAGAAACCATGGAGGTGAGGAGAA